GAAGGGAAAAGGAAATATATGTATTATTAGAGTGCTAACAGATCAACAACTATAAGAACTTGAAAAACATTTGCCTAAAAAACATTAACAAGTTAGTTAAGGCAGGGGATAGATAGGATAAAGCGTTAAAATGGCTTATAAAAATTAAAAAAGAAAAAGCAGTTAACGTTTTACTTACCATTTCGTTTGGCATTTCTTTTTTTATTTAATAGAGATATTGCCCATACACACACACACACACACACACACACACACACATATATATTTATAATGCATATACATATATATGGGTAATATCTTTATTAAGTAAACATATATACATATATACATACACACACAATGATATATATATATATATAAATATATATCATTGCAATGTTTTCTAAATTGAAAACTATGCTCCGTTATTTTAACGTAGTGGGTTCTGATCAAAGCTTTTTAAAAAATAATATAACTTAAAAAATACTAGAACCTGTTGCACCCTGGGTATTTTCTCAAGAAACTTTTATTTATGTGTGTGTGTACATATGTATGTATGTGGAAGGATAGACAGAAAGACAGATAAGATAGATAATGTAGACGTGGTACTTCATCATAGTGCTTCCCAAAGTTGATGAAATGTACCATGAATGTTGCTGTTTGCAAGGTTCACTTATGATCTGAGGCACATGATGCAATGTAAAACCGTGAACAGCCTAATGTCTATCACAGACTGGTAGCTGTGACACGCCATGGTGTTTTCACTGAGGATTTGATGTTGAAGCCGAATGAACTGAGTCATCTCTCCTAGAAGCATAAAGGATGATATGAAAAGGGAAATTGGACTAGATTACTTTTAAAGTGCCTCACAACTGTGATACTTTATTATTATTTTAATGTAAAAACTAGTTTGTATAAATATGTAAATTAATAATAGCTGGAATAGTAGGAATTAAGCGTGGTTCCAGCAATTTATTCACCTGCATATGGTATATACAATCCCACAAGTGAGATTCACAAATGAGATTCACAAATACACACACACACACACACAATCACATACCATTGGACATGCACTCATATATTCTTTCAACAAATAATTTTGCAGTACTTTTTTTTAATCTGGTACTGTTTTACACACTAGTGATTTATTGGTGGAAAAAAAACCAAAACAATATAAAACTTTCTGCATTCAAGGGACATTATGTAAAAATAAGCAAGTCAGTACACAGTGTGTGGTAAAAGCTCTGCAGAGAAATAAAGCAGGAAAATGGACATGGGCAGGGTGGCTCTGGGAGGCCCTTAAAGTAATTTTAAACAGAACGGTCAGGGAACTCCTCACTGATAAGCTGGCATTTGAACGGAGAGCGGAAGGAAGTGAGGGAAGGAGGCCGGCCAGAAGGTAGGGAAGAGCAGCAGGATGAGGTGGTGTGGCGCCTGGGGCAGAATCGCGCAGGTGGCATTGAAGACAACGGGAAGACTGATGTGGTGGGAGCAGGGTGAGTAGTGAGGGGTGTGGCCAGAGAGCAGAGTCAGGGAACTCAGCTTAGGTGGAGTTTCCAGGACCTTGTTAAGGACTGGGTTATTGTCTGAATGAGGTGGGAAGTCACTAGAAGGCTTTGAGTATTTAGTGTAATAGGACCACTGTGGCTGGGGTGTTGAGAAACAGCCTGAGGAGGAGAAAGTGGAAGCAGGCAGGTAGAAAGGAGGTGCTATCACCGGGAGAGGGTCAGGTGAGAAGCCGTGCTTGAGACAGTTGGAGCTGCAGGGTTCTGCTTGTGTTTTTCAGGTAGAGTCTACAGGGGTTGCTGATGGGTTGGGTGTCAAGCGTGAGGTAAGAAGCGATCGATGATGACCTAGAGGTCTCTTACTTGAATGTCCAGAAGAATACAATTGCCAGGAATTTGTTCAGGAGGAACAATTTAAGGGACGATCTATTTGACTATGGTAATTTCAAGGTAAAAATCCTAATGGAGTTGATCACTAGAGAATTGGTTATATGCATCTCTAGTTTAGGGGAGAGGAGTGGAGACATGAGTTCATGACTCGTGACTGCGTAAATGATAATTAAAACCAGGAAATTAGATGAGGTAACTTAGAAAGTGAGGATGGGAGAGAAAACCAAAGGTTGCATGATTGATCCCTAGGATAGTCCAGTACTTAGGGATAGGTGAGATGAAAGGAACCTGCCAAGGGGATTGAAAACACATGCACAGTCAAGTAGAAGGTGAACTATGAAAGAATCATATCCTGGGATCAAGAGAAGGAAGTATTTCAAGAAGTCTTGTCCAAAAGACAGGAAGCCAGGGAGAGCTTAAGGTCTGGATGACCCTTTGGGACCATCGTGTTACGAAGGTCCTGCCTTTGGGGCCCCTGTGAAGACTTTATACCTCTTTCCATCCTGCTCCATACTGTCGTCTGGCAAGATTTGAGTTTAATTTTCAGAGTTCCCAGTTGAGCTAAGATCATTGAAGGAAGACATTCAGCATATTGATTTTTTTTGTACATTAGGTAAAGAGACATTTATTTCTAACAGAGGAAATGGCTATGTTAACTACCGTAATGGCTTCCTTTGCCATTGGAAAGTTTGCTGTTATTAGGGACCACTAATTATGGCTTGAGCCTGGTATAGCATAAGGAAGATATAAAACATAAGTGTAATTGGGTGGAAAATGTGAAACGATGCGGCATCTTACTGTCACTGTAGGACTGTCTCGGAACTCCTTGCGGTGAGGCCAAGTCATGGTGGCTCACAGATGTTGAGACTTAGTGTATCAGCTAAGGGTCTGACACCGGAACCATAGTGTGTGGGCTCCACAAAACTTCAACACTGACAAGTCTTATGGACAGTGGGCCTGGTACTTACCCACATGCACACATGGTACTTACACATATGCACATACAACATACACACATGCACATGACACTTATACACGCATGGCACTTACAACCTGCTGTGCACCTCAGTTTCTTCATCTGTAAATCAGCATGATAATCATCCCCAAAGGCTCAACATGAAGAGTATGTATATTGATATGTATAAAGCACTCAGAACCAATCATTGTTAGCTCTAGATTGTCACTCTTAGATATCAGGGACTTATAAAAGATTAAGTTTAAGTTTAAAATGAAAAGGTAACCATACTATCATCTGATTTCTGTTTTGTTTTTACCATTTATGTGATAAATGAAAGGTGTTAGTACAATTAGTGGTAGTTGAACTTTATTAAGAATGTAACAGTTGCCAAAAGCTGATTTCATTACAGGATACAGTGGTTTGAAGGTATTACTCGAACAAAACTTGTCCACATGTCACTTTATCTCTGGTAGATAAAAAGCCAGAGCAACTTTCTAGTCTTTCTCTGTCACAAACTTCTAGTAAAAACAGCTCTTCTTTAATTTATATTTTAATTCAGTAGAACTTTATCAGACTTAAATTAACCAACTCCCAGAGAGGCCTGGAAACAGAAATGATTATGAAATGTTATGGATTCTAAATAGGGCATTTGGGAAGACAAAGATGAAGCCTACTAATTTAACATTTAGTATTTCACTCTGGCATTCCAATGGAAAAAGGACAGTTAGTTTGAATCAAATAATAGGATTTTTTCTTAGATAATAATAAAGCGAGTTAGTTAAAAGAGCTAACCTGTAATAGGTTTATTAAATTAAGCAATAAAGTTTCATTTCTTTGAAATTACCCCTTGTCAAAATATTTAGAGCTAACTTCACTTACAATGAAATTAAATGAAAGAACTATTTCTGTAAAGTTCGACATGGGTTTTCTCTATTTTGGTAGGAGCTGAAAATGCCACTCCAGTGGATCTGGCTATGATCAGACCTCCTAATCCCATTTTAATTATGGGTTCTTTGCTACCTCTGATTTTATAGTTGTTATTTTGTGACTGACATTCAGACATTCACAGTAATTTTTAAAATACGTAGTTTTACATAACAGTCCCTCAAAGTGACCTTAGAGGAGAGTCTCTAGACATAATTATAGAGAGGAAGGAACTCCTGACCTAGAATGAGCTGATGGTTTCCAGGGCTATCTCATTTTCAAACTTTAAACCCTGTGGCAGAGTTTCACATTTCTGCAAGCTTGAGAGGGAGGTAGAAGGGGCACCTGCAAAGTTTACCATGTGGGCAACACTTTCTGATTACAACCAGTGTACATTTGAAAACACTAGGGATAAATATGATTAACCATGGACTTCTCCCTGGAGACCTGAACCCTAAGTGCGCCTTTTGCCGCCATACTCTGTATTTTTTAGGGTAGCTATTCTTGTGGCTAGGTGTTATTTGTCAGAGAGGGCATCAATATTTGTTGTGCATTATCATTTTTTCTTAGGTTCAAAAATGGATTGCCAGTTGGTTATACTACCCAAAGAAGCATGCTTAAGGCCTGAGTTTTCACAAAGTAAAATTTAATTCAGTGATATCCATTATAAATCACATCTGTCTAACTTTAAAATAACATTTTGTTTTTTTAATGCTCTGTATCCTATTGACAAGCTTTATCAATAGCATTGCTTTCATGGTAAATGATATGTTTTAAATTATATAAGCCAGATATTTCTTTAGAATTTTAGCATGTTTGTGCACGAAGCTCTGTTTCTTTGTCTATAAAATGAAGGTGTTACAACCACACTACCTCTAAGGTTTTTTCTGGTGCCCAAGATTCCCTAAGTCTAATGCCCGGCCTCTTTAATTATTAAGAATATTCTGCTAAAATTCCAAATACTTATGCAGTGTTTCAGATGACGTGGCTCTGCCTTGCCAAAGGGTCCTCTCTGTTGCCCATGACCAGATATTATTCCCCAAAACTCTTCCCCCACTCCCTGGATGTGGTGTTGGCCCCTCACCGAGAGAAAGACCACCCTTTGCCAGTGGGAGCAGGAATACTCTGCTCTAGGTCCAGTCAGGGTGTCTTCCCAAATATATCTGTGTTTGGCCATGTGGGTGTGTAAATATTAACCTGCTTTCTTCGCTTCACTCTTTTTATGTGCATTTCCCCATCAGAAAGGAGAACCTGACTGCCATACTCTCTCTCCGGAGACCACTGACCAACTCACCTTTGAGATCCCCCTGAATGATTCCGGTTCTGCTGGTCTAGGGGTGAGCTTGAAAGGGAACAAATCTCGAGAAACTGGAACAGACCTGGGGATTTTTATCAAATCCATCATCCATGGTGGTGCTGCTTTTAAGGTGGGTAAGAATGATGTTTCCACATCAGTGTGAACGTGGCTTTTGTGCTTGCGGACTGGATAGAGTGAGTGTGCAAAGGTGTGAGATCGCTGAGGCCTTCCTGCCACGTTCAGGAAGTGGGTGTGTGAACACATGTGGGCAACAATGGTCTCTTTTTATGCTGTAAGTGGTTAGTTTCATTTCCTAAAGGTGAGTCTACAAACCCATCATGATTAATATTTTTTCTTGCATTTTTTATTACTGTTAGTATTATTCTGAATTTGTAACCTGACAAGACTTGAACCTAAAAATACACAACCAGAAAAAACAGAACTAAAAAAAAAAATAAGTCAATGTAAAGGCAGCAAATAAGAAAATTGTGCTTGCAAGAAAAAAAGCTCAGTGGAGCCTGCGAGTGATTGTAGTATTAACTAAAGGTCATTTATCACATTTCATACACTCAAGATAACTAACCACGGTGCTCAGAGTGCATATTTGCCTTTGAACTTGGAGAAGCCTATACATTTCAAAAAAAACAAAAACAAAAACAAAAAAAAATGGAAGAACGTAATTCTGCCCTTTCACATTGGATTAGGACTGTGATCATAGCTGTTAACATAGGGTGATGCAGAGTTAAGTAGCTGCCCACGTTCAAATCCAACTCCACCACCTGCTAGCAAGGAACTTGACCGTCTATGCTCCCATTTCCCCATCTGTAGAATGGAGACACTAAATAATACCTAACCCACAGGGTTCTGAGGATTAAATAAAGTAATACAGAAAATGTGATTAAAGCAGTTAAGTGTTTGCAGAGGGGAAACATGCATGTGTTGAGCTCACATCAGCTCGTGCTGGGCCCCAAGACCTCCTGAGTGTGAATCCTACCTTAGTTACTCTCACCATCTGGGAATGCAGGCAGGTCACTCGTCCTCAATATGTTTCCTCATTTGTAAAAAGAGTACAGTTAGCGGCACCTACCTCCTAGTGCTCTTGTGAGGACAAAAAGAAACAATATATAAAATGCCTAGCACAGTGCTTATGATAAACTTTCAATAAATGTTAGGCATATTTAAATAACCTTGATATTAATAATGTGTGCCATCTCCCACACAAATGCCAAGAAGGCCTAGCTGGGGTTTATAGGAGAAGCCCTGGTCCTAGAATCCTGGCTTTGATGAAGCATTTTTCTTCTTCAACTTACCACATCACGTCTGTTTCAGACATAGACACTGAGGTAATGTCTTTTTATTTGGGAAGTAAGAAATACATTGTGGATAGACGATTCTTCAATGCACTCCTTGGATCAGTTAGCTTTTGGTGCATAATAAATAATGGCCAAAATTTAATAACGTATATCAGTAAGTCTTTATTTTCCTTATGACCCACGTGACTCTGCGGGACAGCTGGAGGGGTTTGGGTTCAGGCTGTTGTCTGTCTGTCACACTGTAGGCTGACAAGTCTGATATGCTCCCCACATTTCATCTGTGTCTTGGACCAGCAGACTAGCTGCAGCATGTTCTTCTCATGCTACAAGTTGTCAGAGGGCCCACAGCAATGGATGACGCCTCATAAGTTCTGGGATCCAAATTGGCTTGCTGTTACTACACACACACACACACGCACACACGCACACGCACACGCACACACTCCGCTAGCCAAAACAAGTCATATGGTCAAATCATCCAAAGTCCATCCAAGGCCTGAGGAAATATAGTCCACCCATGAAGAAACTTAGTCCATTCTACCCTTTGCCCTGGCAAAGCAGAGAAGGATGAAGAACTGAGGCCTGTCGTCCCATCTATCACTCTCTCCAATCAGACTCAGAAATGCAGAACTAAGAGCAGAAGGAAAATAACAGTAATAAAACAACAGCAAATAACATTCATTGTCCTTAGTGCAAATACATGCTGGACGGCATGAAAAGTATTCTGGGTGGGCTCTCTAGTTTTATTCTTCACACTCACACTGGATTAGTATCACGTCGCTTCACCAAGGAGTGGTTGCAGGTTGCAGCGGTTAATGCCTCTCCACGTAGCATCCATGTGCCTGTGGCCACACAGCCAGGGGTTTCTCAAACTGCGACTTGAATCCAAGTAGTCTGACCTCATACCCTGTGCTATGCTGCCTGGAGCTGAAGGCTCTTTCATCTGATCTATTCACATTCCTAGAGACTCAGTATTGTTGCCCTGGAGTTGTCTTGTAACAGGCTTGTCATTCTCAGCCAAGCCATCTGAGCATGTGATGCATTTGAGGATGTCTTAGTCATGTTTGTGGACATCGGCTTGATATTATTCTTCTCATTCCTAATGACAGCTCTATTTGCAGAATTTATTCCAAGTAAAATTGAAACTGAAATGAATTTTTGGAAATTAAAAGCAAACATCTTAGCTTTTTTATGGGCAATAACTTAAGCTCAGACAGATATTGGAGAGCTGGATTAATACGTATATCCATGTTTGTGAAAGTGAGCATCTCCTTACCTAAGCAGTTTCTAACAGTCCTGTCTCTTGCAGAAAGATTTCACTTTCCATTTATGTAAATTTCTTTCCTGACACTGGTCTGCTGAGTCAGACAGTCACACCATTAAAAACCACTGGACAGCATATTTATAGCTGATCTTAAACAGTAAGAGGCATCAATCATGAATTTAGCCTTATTGTGACTGTTTAGTATCCATTTGTCTTGTTTACTTGCAGCATAAAGGGAAGAGGCCTAAGCGTTGCTCACAGGAAACCTGATTAACTAGGAAAAAAGAAAGAGTTTTGCTATTCTCCTTCTGCTGTTCCAATATTCCACTGTTCCTCCTCAGAAAATTACCACCTGTTCTGTGATGCACGATTATGTTTTACAAAAATTGTTTTGAGACTTTGCTCCTGACCCTGTTCCAAAGACACAAATGTAACAGACTGCATGTCCCTGGGGCAAAGGGGAGATAAGCGTGGGGAACATGGGCTTTAGCATCTGGCCCTAGGTTTTTACCTGAAAGCAACAGAATAATCTTTCTGCCAGAGCATAGTCTTTCTCTCCTGGCCTTTTATACCGCTAATTGGTTCTCAAGGTCTTTTTTCCCTTTAGGGAAGGTGGGTTTTTTAAAACTAAACTACTTTGAAAACTATGACCAAATTCTTCCTGTGGATTCTATGCTCTCTTCTCCCGGGGGCTTCAGTTGGTGTAAACAACGATAGTCTACTCCCTGCCAGATGTAACCCCCCCTGAATGACTGTGACTATAATTGAGAGCCTCTTTTTCTTTTTGGGGGCTTTTTTTTTTGCCCCCTTACCTTTCAGGCTACTGCTTTCTGTCATTTCAGCTCTTATTTGAGTCACTTCTAATAGAGAAGTAAATCTCTATTCCAAAGTAAGAGCATCCAGCTACCCTAGGATTCCCTCTTGGAAGTGAACCCCTCATTTACTCTAAGGACAAGCAAAATGGTATTTTACTCTATTCAGAATTATCCAAATGATTCAATAGTTAAATTCTAGTCAAGTAGCTGAGAAACCCTTCCCTGCTGGTGTGAGGACAGAGCCTTTGCCACTTCAGAATGCGTTTGCATCTCAAGGCCTCTGCGGACCCTCCGGAGCATCCCTCTGTGCTTGCCTTGCAACATTACCAAGTAACCATCAACTGTAACAGCCAAGTACAACTTGGAGTACTGATACTAACACGCTTACACAATACCATGGATTACTGTCTTCTGTAGTTTCATTTCAGTTTCTGTCATTCTTCCTGGGCATTTCCCCCTGAAGTCCAGGGCAATTGCTTCCAGAACCGATATACTATATACAAGTGTACAGGTTAAGGTCTTAGGACCCAAGGACGATGAATTGAATAAAAATAGTATGTCATGAAGATGCTTTTATAAAATTTCACTTTTGTGATTAGAATGTAAACTTAATGTGTGACTGGTAAGTGAAAAGAAACATTGCCTTTGTTGTAATGGGAAAAAAAAAAATACCTTGGAAAGACTACTCCCCTTTCCCAAAATCTACCTAAAAAGTAGTTTTCCTTTTCTTCATAGAAGCACACATAACATCTTGATTATCAGATTGAAGGCCTTAGATATTTTCATTCTTATTTGCTAATCATTTTGAATTCTGAAATCAGTGCCTTTTTTTTTTTGCTTTGCTTTTGATGTACCATATTAATTGAAACTTTTTTGTAGAAAATGCATTTTTACATCTATTGATTATATTATTTTAAACTGCTTATTTTTACATTAAAATGAATCATTTTTAGAAAAAATATATAACTAGAATAGTGATTTTTTTAAAAAATTGAGGTAGACTATTAATATGTAGTAAAAACAGAAATTTCACAGAACCTGATTTTTTAAATTTAATATACTTTGGAACTTAAATACATCCTATGAAAACCTTGAAATAATAAGGTAAAAATTAAAATTTAAAGATAATTTTTGCTAAGGGAATAATGTCATATATGAAGTAGATTATTTAAGGGCTCTTAAATAGAGGGAATGAATTTAAGAATTCCTGTTATTCTCTAGAAAATTAATTAGCCAGGTTTGTGCTTAATAAATACTACTTGATGATGATGAAATTAGGTGAAAGAAAAATGCCTGACACAGCTAATTGCAAATGCATGCACTCAGAATATGAAATAGACATAATTTAAATGATTTTATTTTTGTGTGCTTAGGAAATTCGAATACTTCCCTCTGAGAGATGCAGAATTTCATAAACTACACTATTTAGTAATGGGTGAAAGAAGTTTTATCCAATACAAGCAATCCTTCTATTTTTAAAATGACTAAAATATGAATTTTTGGAGAGACTATGCACAGTTCTAGAATTTCTGGGAACATGAGGCTTGATTCTAAATCTTCACGTCTCTTCATAATAAGGAACATTTAATAGCTTCCAAGCTCTTAACCGGAGTCCGGTAGGAGTTCCCAGCATGAGTAATTTCCACCTCCATCTCTGCTGGCATCTATAAATCATGTGACAGATCTATAATTAATGAATTCAAAGGAAGATAAAAGGGACAGCTTTTTAAGAAACACT